AAATAAAATAAAAATTAATATATTAGGCCAGCCTGAGAGGCTCTAAGGCCGAGCTTTTGAATTGGAGCCTGAGACCTTTTTATTAAACGAGCTTTTATAGAAGTCCAAGCCTGATTCCAACAATCAATTTTAGACATGTAAACTCAGGCCTTCACGAGCCGAATTAAAGGCCTCTGGCTCGTTTAGCACCCCTAGCTAGATGTGACGTTGAAGACACAACCAAACCGATTTCTAATACGTAAATAAAGTCATGTACAACAACTTGACAAAAGTTTGCTTAATTCTCTAATTAGATAATGTTAGAAAAATATAAAAATCATTAATAGACTTTTACTTTCAAATTTAAGCCGGTAAGTGAAGCCTATCAATGATTTATATTTCTTTAACAAATACTTATTATAATAGTTTAATATGTGAACAATATTTATTTGAGTTTTATAAGAGTTATGTTGTAGGAAAAACGATTCTAATGTTATAGAGATTCGTTTTGCGTGCCATAGTTTTTTTTTTTTTTTAAAAGTGTAGGTCTCACAAAATGTTGTGTGTCTAAGAAAGTTTTTCTGATCACATTAAAGGACAAACTAAAACCCCTATTTATTTATTCATAATAAAATTTTTGAACCATGCATGCCTGCGTTAAAGATAGCTAACCGAAGACCACGATGAATGTTGGCGTTGCTTTTAGTTGAGAAGAGCACGCAGCTAGCTGATCAAGAAAAGTGCTTTAGTGCCCTCGGGGCATAAGTGCATCTTTGTTTCACCTTTTAAAAAAAATGACTTTTATCTCTTCCTTATTTTAAAAGTGCTTTTTACAAAAGTTAAACCTATTTATATTTTTATAAAAATATTTAGTTTTTGAAAAAAATATTTGGCTTTTGACTTCTGCTTTTTGTAGAAGTTAAAATTTTTAGCTTCTGAAAAAAGTAAGTTTTTGGCTTTTTTTGTGACTTCTGCTTTTTTTAAAAGTAGACATCCAAATGAACTAAAAATGAGAAGTGCTTTTTTTCAAGAAAAAAGTAACTTTTGAAGAAAAAACCAAAGCACTGGGCGGCGGTGATGAGTCTTAGAGGCCGTTTGTTTCACCTTTTAAAAAAAGTGATTTTTATCTCTTCCTTATTTTAAAAGTACATTTTACAAAAGTCAAAGCTATTTATATTTTTATAAAAATATTTAGTTTTTGAAAAAAATATTTAGCTTTTGACTTCTATTTTTTGTAGAAGTTAAAATTTTTAGCTTTTGAGAAAAGTAAGTTTTTAAATTTTTTTGTAACTTATACTTTTTTTAAAAGTAGACATCCAAACAAACTAAAAATGAAAAGTGTTTTTTTTTAAAAAAAAAACAGCTTTTGAAGAAAGAAAAATCCATCCAAATGGACCCTTAATTCAAAAAGAAAAGAAAAGTGCTTTAGCAACCATGCAAAGAAGACAAAAGAAAAGTGCTTTATCATCTTTTACATCGTTTACCAAACACACACACACTTTTTAAAAAAAAACAAAACAAAACAAAACTGTGGCATACATTAACATACCGTAATTGAAGTTATATTGACAGGGAAAAAAGTCATGCCCAAATTGTTTAGATCTTGATATTTATACGTTGACAGCAAAGAAATGTATTAAATTTTTTTTAATTGAATACCCCAACAAATATAATAGTGAAACTAATTCTTTATTATTATGAATATTTCACAAATAAAGAGATTTTTCTAACAATTACATTCATAAATAAAAATTATAGTACCACAGCATGCATGCATATATATAGAGAGGTGGTAAAGTGGGCGGCCCACCCTGCCCCGTCATCAACTCGTCAAAAAATGAGTCAGTCCGCTCCGCCTCCATTTTTAAAAGTGGGCTGAAAAACTCAACCCGTCCCGCCAGCCCGAGCCTATTTTACACTTACCCGCCTCGGCCCGCTTATGCCGGCCAAAAAATGAGCCCGCCCCGTTTTTGAGATGGGTTGAAAAACTCAGCCTGTCCTGTCCCGTTTGGCGGGTTGGGTGAATTGGCCCGCCGAGCTGAACCCGTTTTGCCAGCTCTACATATATATAGGAGTAGGATCTTTTGACATCGGTGTCAAATTTTGAAATTTGATACCAAATTTTAACTGTTGATTTTCGTCAATCAACAGTTATCGTTTATTAGAAATTAATAAGGATCTTTTTTTTTTGTATGAAAGAAATTAATAAGGATCTTATCTCACATACACATATACATATATGGAAAAAGTGTTTTTCCCTTAACATAGGATGAAATTATTTTTTACAACTAAAAAATGAGGTCATTTTGAAGTAAAGGAAAAAAATACAGGGTGTTTTTGATTTACTTTATTTTTGTATTATGAATTTTATTAAAATACTTTATATTTTTTTCAAACCCTAAAATAATGTCGTTTTGTCTTTGCGAAATATAACTTTATCTCTTATTACGGAAAAACGTTAATCCTTATGTATATTATGTGATTAAGACAATAAATGAAAAAATAAATAATTTTAAGCAATAATATAGTTATATTATACTCACAAGAAACTTTATTAATTAAATAGGAACATAATAATAATAATAATGACAATAATAATAATAATAATAATAATAATAACAATAATAATAATAATGACAATAATAATAATAATAATAATAATAATGTATTATTTAGCCTGTACAATGACAGGTTAAAACAACTCCTTGATCATAGATGAATCTTATTTGATTTAGATTTTTTATTATTAACTAAATTATCATTTAGAAAACTTTTATAAATTTACATTAACAAAATAGTTAGACGTTAACAGTTATGTTCGTTGTCGTCGTATTAAAAATAATGTTATTTGGACAAGTTTCCATTTCGTATAATTTACTAATCGGCTTAAACAGTTAAACTATAAAAAGAAAATAACTATTGGGGGCGAAAAGGTTCTTAAACAGTTAAACTATAACAAATGTAGTGTTATTGCATATGAATATTAATAACTTGTTCTTTGCTTCAAAGGAAGGGTAGTCTTTGACATTCGAGGGAAAATAATCTAATAGCCAAACACTTTGCAACCTTTCAACTTACATAAAGCTGGTCCAACCCTTTTAAAAAAAAAAAAAAAAAAAGCTGATCCAACTCTTGTTCTCTGTGTGTGTGTGTGTTTTTTTTTTTTTTTTTTGAAAAAGGAAAGATAAAGTCATCATAATTTGTTGACTTAATTGACATCGAAAGGAAGGTGGGTCATTGCCAAAGTTAACATAGCTTTGTAAATAAAATACAACTTTACGACTTTTAATTAGGTTTGAGATATTGACCCCGTCCACAGTGTAAATATTCTTCCACCAACCCTAAAAAAGAAAAAAGAGTTTTCCAAATTCCAATCCTTGCCTTTTTGTATTTATTTTTTGGTTTTCATTAATTAGCAGAAAAAGGTTCTTGGCATATAAGTATTATCGTCGTAAAAAAGAAAAAATGGACTCAATAAATATTTTGTTACAGCAACCTATGTAGCACCGATATTGAAACGGGACACGTGACACGACACGATACGACACGACACGACACGACACGACACGACACGACACTCCGACACGTTAATTCTAAAAAATGTTAGATTTCGACACGTTAGGACACATTTTGATATTAAAAAATATATTTAATTTATGTAGTGTATATTATATTTAATATTCAACAATTTAATAAAAAATGAAGTTAAACTTATAATACCCATCAATTTTGCAAAGAAACACAAGATATGCCAAATATTTATATTAAACTCAATAAAATGATAATTATAATCCAACGAATCTAATAGTTGGAACTAAAAATACAATGCAACGCAACCTTTGAACCATTTTTTGAGTTTCTATAACGCGTGTTGGAGTGTCGGAGAGTATCGGAGTGTCGGAAAGTGTCGGACACGACATGTCAGGATTTTTGAAGTGTCGATGCTTCATAGGCAGCAAGACAAGATTTTCCATTTTTTGTTTTTAAAGGATAATGACGTTAGAGTCTGAATTAGGACCAAGTCATAATACTAGTGAGCTAGTAAACTTCAACCTAACATATTCATTATCGAGTTTTGAACAAGCACCAGATGGTATGGATAAGACCAGATTAAAAATAATAAAATGAACTGTAATACCAATTATGACTGCACCAACCCATACTTCATATTTTATTAAACTTTGCATTTGAGACACATGCACAAATTTGTTTATATGTTAGACAATTCTTAATTTTTTTAAAACAACATATAAAAATTAAGGGTTTGTTTTTTTTAAAGTTACTTTATATAACTTTATCTAATGTTCATTGAAACGACGTCGTTTTGAGGCGGAAATCATGGTATTTTTGTAATTTTAATTTATTTCAGGATTATAATAGTCTTTTTCATTCTAATTTTTTAATTTTTCAACCCCAAAACTACGAAGTTTCGATGAACATTAGACAAATTTATCTACAGTAACATTAGATACTTTTTTCCCAAAAATTAAGTACTAGAATTTTCAATACGTTATATAAACATTGAGAAACAGTTTACAATTTTAACTTAGGTATATAGTATAACTAAAAAACAAAAAAGCCTCTCGTATAAGGTCCACCGTAATTCATATGTCCCATCACACACATTATAAATTGAAATGAAAAATCAATTTCAAAGTGTCATAGCCCCAACCCCAAGCAATGGTCCAAAGTTTCAGCCAGTAGAAATTATATAAACGCAAATTAATAAAAGAAACTATAACGTCGTTTAACACCAAACCTATGGCGTCTGCATTTAATTATTCAATATTCATCATCACAGAACGCAACTACCTCAAACATTCGCTTCATATAAATTTGTTTTTTTATATTATAATTCAATCATATACATATATTCATGCAAAAAAATAAAAATAAATAATTATATATTCTATTTTGTTAAACAATAAATTGTTATTAGTCAAAGAAGTTTTATAAAGAAAGTAAATTTTCCGAGCTCAGCTAGCTTTCTCTCTCTCTCTCTCTCTCTCTTGCCGGCGACGATGGGTAATTGCAACACTTGCGTGAGAGCAGATGTAGTAGAAGAGAAGCCGAGCGAGTCGAACCGGGGGAGAAGGAAAAAAACCCAACCGAACCCATACGCTGAGGAAGGGGACCGGTCTGCAGGTCCGGTTCGGGTGCTGAATGATGTGATTCCGGGGATCCGAATCGGGGACAAGTACGTGTTGGGTCGGGAACTGGGTCGGGGCGAGTTCGGGATAACGTACCTATGCACGGACAGGGAAACGAAGCAGGAGCTGGCGTGCAAGTCGATATCGAAGCGGAAGCTGAGGACCGCCGTGGACGTGGAGGACGTGCGGCGGGAGGTGGCGATCATGTCGACGTTGCCGGAGCATCCGAACGTGGTGAAGCTGAAGGCGACTTACGAGGATGAAGAGAATGTGCACCTGGTGATGGAGCTCTGCGAGGGAGGGGAACTCTTCGATAGGATCGTTGCGAGGGGGCATTACAGCGAGCGTGCGGCGGCACACGTGGCAAGGACCATAGCTGAGGTTGTTAGGATGTGCCATTCCAATGGAGTCATGCATAGGGACCTTAAGCCTGAGAATTTTCTCTTTGCTAATAAGAAAGAGAACTCGCTTCTTAAAGCCATTGATTTTGGTCTCTCTGTGTTTTTTAAGCCTGGTATGTTCTTTTTGTTTGGTTTCATGAATTAAGCTGAATGCTGAATGCTGATGAGTTTTTTTAATTATTTATTATTTTATTTAATTTTTTTTTGTAGGAATGAGGTTTTCTGAAATTGTTGGGAGTCCTTACTATATGGCGCCGGAGGTTTTGAAGAGGAATTATGGGCCAGAGGTTGATGTGTGGAGTGCTGGAGTCATTCTTTATATTTTGTTATGTGGGGTTCCTCCGTTTTGGGCAGGTGCTAGCTGCTACTGGTTTTTTGTGTTTTTTTTTAGTGCATGTGGTTAGTGATGGAAAGTTTAAATTGTAGTAAGTTTTTTTCTTTTTTCTTTTTTTGCATTGGTTTGTTGCAGAGACTGAACAAGGGGTTGCTTTGGCGATTTTGAGAGGTGTGATTGACTTCAAGAGGGAGCCTTGGCCTCAGATTTCGGATAGTGCTAAGAGCCTTGTGCGGCAGATGTTGGAACCCGATCCTAAAAAGCGCTTGACGGCTGAACAGGTGCTTGGTAAGTCATTTTTGTGTTGAGCTGTTGGATACACTGTGCTGACTGGTGACTTGGTGGGGGATCAAGGTTGAATTTTGTAGTCAATGAAAAACTATTCCCTTTTTGAATTGTCATCATCCCAAAACACTGAGGAGAGGATCAATTTTTGGGTTTAAGATGAACAGTTTTGGTGTTAGTCTTCATCTTGCTTAATGCTTGGTGTGATGTGGGATTTTGATCCATTATTACGCTTTCCATAAACTATCATGCTGCTATGAGTATATCTTTCAGACAATAATTTCTGTGGCTGTTACCATAAGTGATCCCCAAATAAACATTGGATTCGTCCTTTGTGTTGTGGCAGAATCTTACAAGTATTAGGTATTTGAAATGAGTTGGAGAAATTAATGAGTGGGAAGCCCCTAAAAGAAGGGGGAGATATGATGAAGAAACCTTAAAATGTGATTGTTGGTCTCTATTTCAGGCTATGTCCCTGTTGTGCATATAATTTTTCTGCATACATTAAGGTAGTTAAATGCTTGAGGAAATTTGTTCGTTATTTTTAGACTAGTTAGTGTAGAAAGAGAAGGATGGATACATTGTCAGTTACATATATTGAGGACCTTTAATTTGTGGTCATATTGGGGAGGCTCCTACTTGTTGTTTTTCCTGGGCTTGCATGCCACATAAGATGTTTATAAACCAAATTCAATGAAAGTTCTTCTCCCCTCCCCTGCCCCTCAAGCATCAAACCTTTTGATATTAAATTCAGCTTTCTTTGCTGACTCTCAGACATGTCTGAGACACTGAGTTCGACTATCATTCATAGGCTGGGTTGAACTCATTTTATATTTGTTACTGGGTTTACAGTGTCATGCAGTCTGTCTGACTAAGATATTATCGGGGCAGCCAAGAACCTTTCACTCCTTTGCAGTTGAACAGTGGTATTTATGGTTTATTTTGTCCCCTCAATGTTGAGAGGGGATACATGATAACTGTCATGGCCCCCAAGAATGAATTTTAGAAATTTCCATGCCTGGAAGATTTTGCCTTGTGATAATTAAAGGGGGTGATTTCATTGGACTCAATCCGAAAATTTAAGCAGCTCAAAATTGCCATGTATAATGTATGACTTTTTCTTTGGTTAAGAGAAATCTTCTCATTCTTACCTGGACCCTTTGTCCCTTTGCCCTCTCCCCCTTAAAAGGAAAAAAGAAATGGTTGCATACCTTATAACTCGGGAGGGTGCACTGTACATTAGGCATACCTGATGTAGAAAGTGATTCTAAATATTTAACTGTCCTTAATTATGGTTGCAGAACATTCCTGGCTACAAAATGCAAAGAAAGCTTCAAATGTTCCATTAGGAGATATTGTGAGGACAAGGCTTAAGCAGTTCTCTGTGATGAATAGATTCAAAAAGAGAGCTCTTCGGGTTAGCATCTAGTGTGGTTTATGCATAATTGTTGACTCAAGTTCTGTTTAAGATGGAACTAATCAGGGGTTTGAAATGTTGGTGATTTGGGTTTCTTTGAATGAATGCTACAGGTAATTGCAGAACATTTATCTCTTGAGGAGGTAGAAATAATCAAAGATATGTTTACATTGATGGATACTGACAAAGATGGCAAAGTATCATTCGAGGAACTGAAGGCTGGTATGCGGAAGGTTGGTTCACAATTAGCTGAGCCGGAGATAAAGATGCTGATGGAAGTGGTAGGTTTCTGTAAGCTTTATACCATTTATAATGTAATTGCTTAATATAATTTCAGTTCTTTGATTGTCACTATGATTATTTGACAATCTGATGGAGCTCATTGAAACCATTTTTCTGGACTTCTGCTGCATGATTTCTTAGAAGAATGCATTTTTAAAATGAACACAACATTGTGTTCTCCCGGAATGAAGATATTCTCTTTCCTATTTAATCAGTTGTGTGCGCGGTTGGTATGTGCATGACAAATGTGTCTTAATTGGTTTTGGACCTTGTGCTGCATTACATCATATAATGTTAGATGCCACATTTAATGCATCCTCATTGTGCGGTGTAAATAATCCCTTAAATTTACTTCTAAAGATTTTGTTTTAAGGTAATATTTCCTGTACAAAAAACTATGCATGAGGTTCTTTCAGTATGGATATCCATATTGTCTTGGTTTCTGAAGCCTTCGCTTAAGGAAAATGTTGGGAGAGAGAATCACAAAAGAAACCATAATTTGGGTTTATGGGTCAGTGAAATCCACGGTCCTCTGATATCCTTTTTATTTTACTGAGTAAAATGGTAGTACAAGGTAAAGTAGAAAAGAAATGAGGAAAGAAACTATGCTATACATATCCTCCTACTTTTATTGAATTATACTGCTTCTTATACCACCAATTTTCATTTGAAATGAGTTTCATATACTTAAAACGCTCCCCATTAAACCCCGACTCGTGAGGGTCGGGATGAGGGTAATCCTTGTGCACAGACTTACCTTTATATATTTGCAAAGAAACTATTTTCCAGATTTAAACTTGTGACTTTTCAGTCATAAAGAAACTGATTTACCACTACTCTAGGCTCACCCTCTTGAGTTTCATCTACTTAATAGTAGAATAAATTAAATTGTCATTCATGCCCTAATCCTGTACTTGTCAAGTGTATATGTAAATATGTAATAACAAATTAGTGATTCAAGGATGGTTTTCTTTGCTGTCAATTGCTTAGGCTGATGTTGATAGGAATGGAGTACTTGACTATGGAGAGTTTGTAGCTGTGACAATTCACTTGCAAAGAATGGAGAATGATGAGCATATCCGCAAAGCATTCATGTTTTTTGACAAAGATGGCAGTGGTTATATTGAGTTAGTTGAGCTAGAGGAAGCATTAGTAGATGAATCAGGAGAAACTGATGCTGATGTATTGAATGACATCATGCGTGAAGTTGACACTGACAAGGTTTGGCTTTCATGCGCATGACTCAATTGTTTTATTTATTTATTTAGTTTTCCTTTCAGCAGGTTCTTTCTTTCTAAGTACACACTACACTACCACTGCAACATAAACAATAGCAGATATGCTAGTGTTTATCATAAAATTCAATTGTTAAGAATTAAGATGATGATAATAACATGCGGGAGGGAAGGTGTGGAATTTCTGGGAAATTGTAATTATTGCTGCTTCTCATGTTACTTTTCTTACACGCCCCACACATTCTTCTGAATTCTTTAAAACATTTTTCAATTTTCTGTTTTCACAGGATGGTCGCATCAGTTATGAGGAGTTTATGGCCATGATGAAAACTGGAACTGATTGGAGAAAAGCATCTAGGCAGTACTCAAGGGAGAGATTCAAGAGCTTGAGCATAAATTTGATGAAGGATGGTTCACTTCAGCTTCATGATGGGATTAGTGGTCAAGCTGTAGTGGTTTGAGTACGAAGTTATTTCTTTCTGTAACCTTGGTGTTCACTCAGTTTCTCTTTTTCCTTCACCACTTACCATTCTTGAAAGTCGGGTTTGTGGAACCTCCGTGAAAGCAAGCAAGTTTTGGTTGGAGCGTTTTGAAGCATACTATTACCTTGAGTTGGAGGGTGGTTTGGCATATATTTCTCAGTTGGATTGGGTGTTAGATGCCTGAAGCATGCATTGGAGGCTTGCATACTAAAGACGTTTTATAGCTTCTCACCAAATATTGTGGGGGCACATGCTGGAGGCCTCAAATTGTCACTTATTCTTTGTATATCTTCCTCCTGTTATTTGTGTTTGATAATTTCATTGATAAATGTGATTTTTCTAACTTATGGGCAGAAAACCAGTTTGGGTTTGTCTCGTTGGCAGCGTGAACTACTGAAAAAGTTTAGTAATCTGCCAGTTTAAACAATTCTATTTTGTCCCAAAAATTGTATATATCTTATGCTCAATTTTTATTTTATTTTTTATTTTTAAAAATTTTTTGTCACTCGTATTCACCGAATCTCCCACTTTAGTCATTGTGCATGAGTAAAATGAAGAGGGTTAGATACATTTGTTAACCATTTTGCCTTCGACACCAAATTGTACATTTTATGAAGATATCAATGTAATATCAAAATTGAGAAACATTTTTCGGAGTTAGAATATAAGAAATAGTAGTACAGGTACTCTCTCAAGTCTCTCTTGTTCTTTTACAAGGAAAGAAGGAAAACAAAAAAAAAGGTTGAGAAAAATTCATTAATAGTTTAAATACTTATATATTCAAATGCTGCTCCGGTTCATAATCTGGATCCTTGGTTATAAATATTTCCTTATTGCAAAGAACATGGACTCACTGAACCCGAGTCCTGCATTTACATTTTACACGCAACGCGTCTTGTACACAATTTGAAAATAATCTTATTTTAAATTACTCACTGTTCCGTTTAAGAGGTGACTTGTACTCAAACTTTCACTCCAATACCTTAATTCATTTTGTTTGCTGTCCAAGCTGAGAGTTGGAGTATTTATCTTCTGATTTCCAAGTCACGGAGTTTGTCTAACGAAGCCATTTATTTTTATTTTATTTTTTTTAAAATATAGTTTCATGAATGTATAAAAAAATAATTTTCTATAATTAACCTATAGTTGGAGGGAGTTATGTGTAGTTTAGCCAATTTAATTTTAATGATACCACTGATCCTCAGGAAGAAAGAAATTAGTCTATGCGTGAAATTTTACGTCTTGGACCCAACGTCCAAAATCATTCGTGGAATGGCCCAAACATATTTCAAAGCCCATATACGGATAAATCCACTGGACTGCACGTCGTGACTAAATTATCAAACGACCCAAACGGTCCTCACTAATTTTGTAATTTCATTTTGTCAATTTAAAAAATAATAATAATATTACAATAATTTTAATAGCACAATTGCACAAAGCCAGCGCAATGAGCAATAATGTTGTTTTCCTTCCCATTATTTTCTTTTATATTTTTTAGTTGGTATAAAGGTGGAGAGATTGTACTTTAAATCATATATAGTGCTTAAAATGTTATAATAGAAAGCGAAAGTATGATAAAGCAGACAAGGATCTGGTTTGACGAGGAACGCACCCCCACGATTCCACTTGCAGAAAGCAATTCCCTTTTTGTGGATACCATTCCTCCAATGAAATGATTTTACTGTAGAACTAGGCAGTTCTACGTTCAAATAAAAGTAACACTAATCATTTTGACACGTTTGGCAAAAAAATTTATCAGACTATCATGCTAACAATACATTTTTCTAAAATGTCACGCAGCATATTTCGCTACTCAGTGTAGCAAAATATGTCATGTCAGGCTACACAATCAGCAAAAATGACACGTGTCAAGTAATCAGAATCCAAGCATAATTCGCTACACAGTACAACGAAATATGGCGCGTGACATTTTGAGAAAATTTACTGTTGGCGTGACAGTCTGATAAAATTTTTTGCCAGGTGTGACAAAATGGTCACTCTCCCCAAATAAAACTAGTTTCATACTCAAAAATATAAAAAAAAATAACACATCATAATATAAAAAAATAAAAATAATAAGATCCCATTATTTTATTTTTTGAAATATTTCAATCGATTCATAATTTCGTAATTAGTTCGATTTGCAGCGAATTTCTGGATTAAGATTTTAAACTTCTCCAAAAAATAATACTGAAAAGATCGAATACATATTCTCGTCTGTACGGTAACAAGTGAACTATTATCCTTTTGTTAAGAATCCATTATTTAAACGATAGCATTGGCTATCATGATTTGCAAAATTTGTTGGTGCCAGCATCAGCATGTGGTGGAGACGGTAAGCGACAAGGGATTGCTAGATGCAACATGATTTGAATGATGGGTCCTAATCATGACAGGCTAGATAGGTCCTCTCTATATATTATGGCAGGTTCTTTTTCTATATAAACATGCATGTTGCAGACAAAGTGGGGTGCTCGATCATATTGGCTCTGAAATAGTGAAAATAACTATAAAGGAGTGCAAAACCGCGCATATCTTTCTCTGCTTTCCCCTTGTGTATCTCCATTCTCCACCATTGCTATACCTTTGTTACTTAAGACTTATTTACTTGAAACACTTTCATGTGTTAACTGTATAAATTGACTCCACTAATAAAATTAACAATTAAGTGAGTTCTCCTTTTTCATAATAATAGTTTTCACGCGTAACTAACTAATTTTTTTTTTTATAATGACTATATATCACTAAATTTCTAAGATTCCAGTTGTTGAACGTTTTTTTTTTATCCCTTTATTATATTTATTGAGAAAGTATAATTTTATATTTTTGCTAATTGCTATAAAGGAGGGAGGATGGAGTCCAATTTATTCCTACACTCGAAATTCAAAATCACAAGATAAAAGATTTTGTCCAGCTCAAAAAAAAATAAAAAATGGTAAAAGATTATTTCGCGATTGATACTCGATTTATTGAAAAGGTGCTCTAACGCCTTAGGGTATATATAGAAAATATGAAGGATTTTAAAGCACAAAAGAGATGATAAAGTTAAAACAACTAGATTTGGTCTGCTGGTAAGGAATTTGAGTAAGTTATATTAGATTATGTATTCAATTCTCATTTGTATCCAATAAAAATGATAAAGTTCTTATTTTTAAATGAAGAGAGTTATATAATATTTATAAAAATAATAAAAGATAATTACAAAGTTTTGTGAAAATTTGAAATTTTTTCTTTCATTTTAAAAAGTTTTAAATTAAATAATATTTACTTGTAGTAAAAAAATGAGAAGCTCATAAATAAATTATTTATGTATTTATTTATGGATTTTATTAATCTCATATTAAAGGAGATAAGTTATCTCATATCATAGAGATAAACTTGTGGACTCCACCACCTAAAAAAATATGTGGCACAGTTATCAAAGAGTGTGTAAGAGAGAAATTTATCACATATAACATAAGAGTAATTTTTCTCTTTTTTTATTACTTGTTATGAATTAGCATAACGAGTTTTTTAGTTAATAATATAAATCATTAAAAATGTCTTCTTCTTCTTTTGGAAACAAATCATTAAAAAGGTCTTCATCAACATCTTAAGCTTTTGGATTTAATTGGTTCTTTATATGGTATTAGAATTTTTGGATTGAATTTTTTAGTGACCATACAATCACTAGTTTGATCCTTATCACCCTTTACTTTCTAAAAATAAATAAAAAGGGTAAATCAAATTGGAAGGAATGTTAAAGAATAATAATATGCCACCCTTCCAATTATGTTCTTAATGGAAATCGCTTGTCACCGAATTCTACATTAAATACAATCCTCTTAAGATCAAACATTACTATTATTAAATTTAACGTGGAACAAGTTAATTCATTCATCATCATATCCAAGTGGAGAGATGAGATCGGATTATGCTCTTGGTTCATACTTTTTTTTTTTGTAGTTTTAAAGTATTTAGGGATTTACTTCTTTACACTTTTTTTGTTTTAAAAAGGAGTGTTATTATTATTTCTTAAAGGGATATATTTTTCTTATATTGTAGAAAAAAAATTACCTCATGTTGTAAAAATATAAGTATAAGTGGGACCCACAGATAAGAGGAGAGAAAAAAAATGGTGAAACTCAATCCCTTTTTGTGTGTAGGAAAATTGTTTATCTCATGTAAAATGAGATAAACATAACTCTTTAAGTAAATAATTATCTTATGTTGAATGAGATAATTATTTCATGCAACAGAGACAATGGAGTGAGGTCCACATTATTTTTTTACAAATGGTGGACTTACTATCTTGTCTCTGTTGCATAAAATAATTATCTCATGCAATATGAGATTAATAGATACCATAATTATATATATTGAAAGGTATCAAAATGTTACCCATTAAATTATGGCACTTTCCTATTTGTTAGTCATTTTCATATGAGTTTTTTTTTTCTGCAGTTACTGCTGCAAATAAATTATTTACAGTAAGCTCAATACAACGTTATTTTGAGACGAAAATTATGGTATTTTTGTAATTTTAATTTATTTCAGAGTTATAATAATATTTATATTTATAATTTTTAAAATTTCAATACCAAAACAACGTCATTCTTTAAATAAATGCAGATAACTTATCTACATTAATTGAAGAAACATTTTTTCCTTTTCACATAAATAATAATAAGTAGTGCATATTAAAGAGGGTACCTAAAATCTCCGACGTGATACGGCACAGTACGGAATGTACCTTGTTGAGACACATATCATGTGATGTTGGGCAGACAATTTTTGGGGTTGTGGATCTCTAAAGCCTGCATTAAATGCTTCTCTTTCCATCCTCTCATCTATGTTTCTTGGATTCTTCGCCCATCGGATTAAATTAGTTTTTTTTTAAACAAATTAGTTTTATATATATATATATATATATATATATATATATATGGGAAATGATATTGTGACAACCAAGTCATGTTACACCCATGTGACACCCAATCAATCTCACCGTTAGATCGATTATGTTGATCCAACGGTTATATTTATTTCCATCTTTGTATGGTCATGATTCCCCATATTTAAAGTGAAAGCATTAAATATGTGAAATCATAACCATATAAAGGTGAAACTAAATATAAAGTTTTAAATTTGAGAAATCATTACCATACAAAGATGGAAATAAATATAACCGTTGGATCAACATAATCGATCTAACGGTGAGATTGATTGGGTGTCACATGGGTGTAACATAACTTGGTTGTCACAATATCCTTCCCCTATATATATATAGGGTTTGCATTTGTCATTTAACATGACACAACAAACTTTCATACACACACAACATTTTGTGGGACCCACACTTTTTGAAGAAAAAAAAAAGAAAAAATTATGGCACGCAAAATGAATCTTATAACATTACACAATCATTTTTCCTACAACATAACTCATATAAA